GAAAGGAATAGATACTGTTATGATGCTTTGATGTATGTCTGGGTACGCAACTGCTTTCTGCTCGAACAAGAGTTGTCTGAAAGGTCATTGCATGAACCCCCTTCTGCATAAGTGATTGGTGGATGGATCGATCCACAACGGACTAACCCCACGAGCCCCCGTGTAAGTACGATCTGACGGATGCGGCTTACACGAGCACTCACGAGGCCGGCCCGCAACAGCGAACGGACTTAGCCCGACAGATCTCGACAGGAATGATGGAATCCCTATCTACAATACGGGTCAGGGCAAACGGGGATTGCTGAGTGGAATTAGCTGCAAGAACTGAGCCGGTGCGGATTGCTCCTTGGCTGCTTGCGCAGATTAGGATCGGGTTTGCTAGCCCTCGCGCACGCACGTGTCAAACAACGTCCGTCCGCAGACGTGCCATCTACACGTGCGCCCGCAAAAGCTAGCCACGATCCCGCCCCGTAGGAAGATGTGTATGCAGGAATTCGGTTGAACATGATATGGCGATAGTCTGATACTCTCCCTTCTGGATCACCGATCGCAAAAGCCTGAGGAACCCAGAATACCGAGCATATTGGGAAAGGGAACAAATCCGACGGCAGCGAACCCGACAACAGCGCCACCTACGGAACTCGAGACATCTCGAGTACCCCTGCCGGACTGCAAACGAGCGACTGTGCAGGGGCGATTTCCAGCTGGCAATCAACCGAGACTCGCGGATTCCCGATTATCCCGACAGCCAGAACCAGCAGTACCTTCTAACCCCAGGCTTCGTTGCCATTACCACTAACTTCCCTCCCTACTATACCGTCCTCCCCTACCATCACCTACTCGTGGTCCCCTGGGATTCCATAGCCCGGTTCTGGCCCCGTCCGCCGTGCTCAGAGTGTCGGCAGCCCGACGAGCGTCGACAAGCGAGGGTCGCGCAATGAGCCTATCCCAGGACTGAGCGACGAGAGTCCGACTCGTCTCCCTCAGACCCCGAGACGTGCGACGGCCGTCAGCGGTACGAGCACTCCCACGGAGACACCCGTAGCACCCCACCCCGGCTCGGGCAGCACGGTCGGTCATCGCCTCAACTCTGAGCAGAAGCCACTTGCACTCCTACCCCCGAAACTTGCCACCGGAGATCTCAGTTCCGACCTGGGACCCACCCCCAAATTCCCAAAAATCCTTGGCACACCCCTTTTCGCACTTCCAGGCCCCCATCCCACTCCGATCAGGAAGTCACGCCGGGTGTGAGGTTTGGGCGCCAAAATATCGTGCATAGAATAAAGAACAGGCGCAAGACGAAGAGACCAGAAGTCAAACTTTGCAAGACCATAACCGGAGACATGAGACTGAAGAGTAGTATACAAGCAATGCAGGGAGCAGTCGTTGAAGGGCTGCAGTCACTGAAAAATCATAGTAATAATAATGTTCAAGCACATTTCAGTGACTGGAGAGATTAACCTCAATCAATGATTACAAGTGGTAACCCCTCGTGTGTGAGTTCAGCCGACTGGGACTCTGCCTCTGGTTCATGCTGCTCCTCCGCATTGAGCACCTGTGTCCAGTGGGCTCAGGGACCACATAGTTGATGTCCAACGATGCAGCCGGATCAATCTTCAGAATGTAGGCCATGCACTAGGTCATCTCGTCATCGGCCATGCTTCAAAGATACAACTCTTCGGCCAAAGGGATATCGCCCGTAGCTCCAATCAAAATCTTGACTCGCCCCTTGCCATAAATGTAGTCATAGGATACCTCGAGGAATCATCCCCGTAGAGTGGCTTCCTGAAAACCTGCATAGCAAAGTCCGCACCGACGAGATGACTGTATCCATCTCCGAGATAAAGGACCAGCCCCTCCCCTTTGGAGGGGCCTGCAACCTCCTCCGTCTTAGGCTCACTGGACGTATTGGAGTGTGATCAATCCCCCTCGAGTAAGTAACGTGCCGAAAGATACGCGATTCATCATAGTACTTCTCTTTGTCATCGTCGCTTTTTTTGAGTACCAGTGTCACAATCCTCAACGCAAGCAAGGCCAACACGAATCATAAATCAACTCAGTCCCTGTGAGTGTCCCAGTCGAAGTAATCCCCGAGGTCAACGTCACTCACACTGCAACGTTCCCGATCTGACTCATCGTTCTCTGACCTCTGCAGACATGTAGTTATGGGAATCTTAGACCTAGCCACCTCGCTCCTCAGTCATTGGTCTCTCCGTGTGGCATACTGGGTATCCACACGGGCCTGCAGGACCCGTTCAGACGGAAAATCAGGGCCCTACAGGCCCTGTGTCGTTTCAGCCTGAAAGCCTGAAAACAAGGGCCTACAGGCCCTGTGTCGTTTCAGCCTGAAAGCCTGAAAACAAGGGCCTACAGGCCCTGTGTCGTTTCAGCCTAAAAAAGGGCCCTCCAGGCCCTGAGTCTTTTCAGCCTGAATTTCAGGCCCTCAAAAGATCGACCTGCCCTGAACCTTAGGCACCAGACCAGGGTTTTAGCACAGGCCATTTTGGGCCTGTTTTCAAGACAACCTTTGTTTGAACTTCAACGCCAGGGTCTGGCACGTTT